GCTGTAACTGTTGACTACATGGAGATGCAAAATTGTTAGAGAATATGAAATACACTGAATTGGTAGTCAATGCATCTCAACTTATAATCTCAAACGGTATTAGAGTGTAAAGCCTTAAATCAGCTCTGGATTCAAATGCTGCAGAATTCTAACAACCATATATGACTAGCTTTACTCAGATGGACAAGAGGACACTAGACATTGAAGAAGGCAAAAAGAAAAATGTTCTCTCTGCCTAAGAAAAATATTCAGGCTGTCATAGAAAACCTGTGAAAATTTGTTTCTGTTAGAAAGAAATTCAGAAGTGAGTGACTTTTGCTTCCATGAAAACTGATGATGCAATGTCTTTTCCCAGCAGCTTGGTTGTATCTCACTATGATTTTTTTGCTTCTGTGTAAAAAAAAATTAAATAAACAATCTCCACCTTAATAAATGTGGATAGTTTTCTGAATAGCCTCTCTTCTGAGAAGTGAAATTTACATCCCACAGAACTAATGAGCTAACAGCTAGTCAAGGCACAACTAAGACTTATGTAGTAATTACAGTTAATTAAAGCAGGCATTTTATGACTTTTATTCTTTAGCACTTTTTTAAGTGATAGTAAAGAATAGTTCTATAGTCTTTACAAAATATGTTTATAAAGCTTACATAAAGCAATTCAGGCAGTTGTATTCTTGACAGTTTCAGTACTGTCCAGAATGAGTCATTTCAAGGGTCTGTCTCAAGAACAAAAGCTGGATCTGGCCACACCCTCCCATCCCCTGCTTAGGCTGCTATAAGCTGAGAAGCTCCAATATTGAAGAGTAGCACTGCTGCTCCATCAGCATCAGTGGATCTGCTGCAGGTGTGTGTGTGGGGGTGGGTGGGGGGTGGGGTGGGGTTCAATGATTATTTCCCTGTTTGTGACATCACAAACGAGGACTTTACTAAATGGATTGGCACACAAAACCAGACACTCAATGAAATTGAATGGACAATTTTTATTCATGTTCTGACTGATTATTAAGTCAGTAGAGACCCACATGGCAATGCAAAAGGGTGCTAAAGGTGAGTTTTGCATAATATGTCCCCTTTAAATGGAATTGTATTGTTATTATTTAAGTGTAAAAATAAACAACCAATAGTCAACAGCAGTAGGATGTAGTAAATCTGGGATATGCAGGGGTCAGTTGTGTAAAAACTTTACAAATGTTTCTGCTGACCCATGTGTTGTGAAACTAGTGGCACTGTGAAGGTTTAACAAACATATTTTTGTTCAAGCTGCTATGAAATTTAAAAAAATTGGAGCTGTTTAAGCACAAGAGGAGCCAGTTGAGGTGGCTCGGGCATCTGATTAGGATGCCTCCCGGACGCCTCCTTGGTGAGGTTTTCCGGGCACATCTAACCGGGAGGAGGCCTAAAGAGAGACCCAGGACACGCTGGAGAGACTATGTCTCTCACCTGGCCAGGGAACACCTTGGGATTCCCCTGGAAGAGTTGGCCCAAGTGGCTGGGGTGAGGGAAGTCTGGGCCTCTCGCTTTAGGCTACTGCCCCCGCAACACGAGTCCGGATAAGCGCAAGAACATGGATGGATGGATGGAGCTGTTTAAAGGAAACAACTTCCTGCTTTAGACATGGCTCCATGAAAGACTATTGAATGAGCCGCTGCATAATTTTGGGATTTAGAGCTTGGTTAAAACAATAGCAACATACTACTTACTAGTGGCACAGTGGTTAGTGCTGTTGCCTTGCAGCAAGAAGGTCTTGGGTTTGAATCCTGGCCTGGGATCTTTCTGCATGGAGTTTGCATGTTCTCCCTGCGCATTGCTGGGCTCTCTCCAGGTGTTCTGGCTCCCTCACACAGTCCAAAATTATGACTGTCAGGTCTCTCAAAATTATCCCATGTACTAAAATGGCACAAAGTAAAATAAGTGCCCAAAAGCACAAAAATTTGAAAGATTTATGATTTTGAAAAGGTGAAAATGTGTACTCAAAGATTAAATTAATGTAAAAAAAAATACAAAAAAGGGAAGAGAAACATTTCACTGAAACTTAGAACAGCAGTGTGCAACAGAGCACGAATTGCAGGTATTTAAATGTTACAGTTATTGGTTTTAAAGTCTGGTTGCAATAAATCTACTATGTGCCTGAGGTGCTGCGGTCTGCCACTGAAGATGCAGTCGCATTAACCGTCTTTCCAGCTGTTCCGGGATATTTCTGGGAGAGGGGAATGTGACAGAGACAACGAGATGGCTGGTTCTCTCGGCTGTTGCATCTCCATACAAAATCGGCTCTTTCAGGACTTTGCTAGGATGTCAGCATACTGTTTCAGCAGTGGGTGATGTCACTGATCAATGCCAAAAGGCACCTACTGAGATTAATAACACTTCAAAAGTTGTATTTTGTCAAAGTACACTGTAATCTATTCAGGAACGAGGAAGGTGTTTGTTTGATATAAAAAAGGTTTTCAATAACCAGAGGAAGCTTTATTTTTTACAGTGCTCTCTAAGACACCCAGGGTACAAAATACACAGGCTTGTGGGGGAGTCCTGTGAGATGGAAAGGGGGGTCTATTTTACCTTGAACCCCAAAATGCCTTTAAACGACCCTGGGTGTGGCCGCGCCAGTGAGGTGAAGTCATCGGAGAACAGGTGATGATCTCAGTAGCAGTGCAGCACGTCAGGCACGAATAAAGATACAAGTACCAGAGAATATGAGCTGACATGCATGATCATGTGTTAATTATCATTTTTGGGTGGCACCACTTTGATATTGTTACTGTGGCCTTGTGAGGACGCAGTTCCTTTACATTTTCAAAGTCGGGAGTTTAGAAGCAGCAATTTCAAAGCAGCTTCAACACTTCTCATTGTTTTATCCTTTCATTCAGTTACTCCAACTTTTCAAGTTTTACTGATTTTGTTTGGCTACGTCTGCCGACATCATTCCCCTCTGAGTTACAACAAATCAGCTGGAGTTAACATGTCCCAGTCTGTGACTATCAAGTTTTGGTACTCATTCGTCTCAGAAATGCCCCAGAAAACAGTTCTTTAGGTACAGCACGGTGGCATGGACATGCGCACATGTTGCGATGGTCCAGGAAATGTATCCAGAAGTTCCGATAATGGGAACAGGCCTAAGGTTTGGAGAGACATTGTCCTTATCCTTTACTGAATGATATAATGTTAGATTTGATCAAGTGACTGAGATTTTGTGGATTTGGTACAACTTGGTGGAAAGCAGAGATAAAGATTAAGGACTGTTTATGCCATCAGAGGGTGAGGGCAAAGGCCGGAAACCTTCCTCAGTCATATGGGAAAGTGGTTTGGAAATGGGATCAAATGGAATTCTGTACAAGGAAGTTTTAAATGATTCATGTCCTCAAATTAACCTGACTGACATTATGCATGTAACGTAGCCCAATTACTATCATATCTGGAAAACTGTCTTGGTGTGTTTTATGCATAACACAAAAACCCATCCTTAATAAAATGTTTTAGGAAAATGTGAAATTGAGTGTCAAGAACTAGGAGAGCATAAATCCTGAGGAGGCAGCAAACGAGCGCATATTTTATTAAAACACCTGAAGGTTTCTGTCAAATCAGACTCTATAATAATGTTTATAATATCACGGAAAACTCACTTGTTGACACAAGCATGTCTTGCTTTAATTGCTGTTCCGCACGCGCACGCGCACAAGCGCCGCGCGCCTGGCTCGCGCCTCCTCCAAAGGGATCCCGGAGTTGGAGACGTCGTCAGGCCCTCCAGGAAGCTTCAGAAGCCGGCCGCGTCATCCCTGGATGGGCGGCGCACGCGGACGGGGAGGACGGATGGTGTTTTCCAGCTTTAAAAGCACCGGAGCCTGCCCCTCTGACTCACCGAGCTGCGTCACAGACCTGGGTTGACTTTTTAAAACCTTCACGGTGCCGAAGCGAACCACACTCACCTCTGCGCACGGTCCAGCTGGCCACTTCCGTTGAGAGCTCTCGGTGCGCTCTGAGTTCTGAATCAAAGTTGCTTTTAATTCAAGTTTCTAAATGTTTACGAAGTGAACTCGTTTGGTCGTGATTAATAACCAGGCGTTCGCTGAGAGCAGAAAGTTGCGCATCGCTTGTTGAATGCAGGATTCCTTCTGAGCGTCACAGCCAAGTTCAGCTTTGGAGCCGGTTAGGAGCGAGGACTCCAGCGTCTCACCTCTCTCACCACCGACATGAAGTCTGCAGAAGAAGGTATAGATAACAGCTGATCATTCGTGCGTTGGTTTAAATATGCTGCTGCAGCTGCTGCAGACTGTAAATTTCCAATGACATATTTATTGTAAAAGTAGCAGAGCATTTTTAACACTTGGGTATTTTTTTCCTAATAAATAAATACGATTGCATATTTGTGCTTCATCAAACAAGCTCCTTTTCTTATCTTTAAGTCAGCGCCACAATTTGTTTTGCTTCAGCTGCATAAAGGAGGATCGGGCTGCTAATCTTATTGCAAAATGTAGAAAAGCATTACATTCAAATATAACAGAGGCTTCAGTTATATTGCAAACACAAAATGCATCCCAAATTGGCAGACAGATGGACCCAGAATACCTAAAAACCACTAGTTTGGAGACCATGATGACAGATAATGTGGAATCACTAAATTCTACAAAAATATCACAATTGTATGTTTGCCTTATATTGTGCATACTCTTGTTTTGCATCCAGTTGTGCTGGCAGGTGCCTCTGTCCATGATGGGGTTGCATATTAATGATGTCTGCTACACTCACAATAAGTTATCAGGTGTAATAAAGGCTCCTATTTTCATTTAGACTTCTCTATGAATTTGCCATTATTGAAGAATATAAAACCATATTTTTTTATTGAGTTAGCATCTACGGTTATATTAACCAATCAGAAGTTCCACACACTGTTTTGTGCTGATGCTTCTGGCTCCTTTTGTGTTTGAGGTTTCAGACAAACGGGAGCAGACTCATTCTTCATTTCGGTCCTTAATCGGGAACAGGCGTTTGTGTGTGTGCGTGTGTGTGTGTGTGTGTGTGTGTGTGTGTGTGTGTGCGTGTGTGTGTGTGTGTGTGTGTGTGTGTGTGTGTGTGTGTGTATGTGTGTGTGTGTGTGTGTGTGTGTGTTGAAAAACCTTGGTCTGTGTGTTGTTTGGATGTTGGGTAGCCAACCTGAGAAAGAGCTGAGCCTAACAGCACCCTTGCACCATCACATCTAAAGTCAAATGGCACATAACCAAAAAAATAAAATAAAACCAAAGCAACAAAAACACATACACACACACACACACACACACACACACACACACACACACACACACACACACACACACACACACACACACACACACACACACAAACACACACACACACACACACACGCATGCATTCATATAATGTTTTACAACTGCCGTTTTGCACACAAAAAAGCAAGAGGTCCTCAGAAGTCTTCAGTCCAGACTTCAATCCCTATAGAGAAACCTGTCTGCTCTTTGGTTGTGGGGGAGAAAATCTTTTGATCATGATAGAGCGATTGAGAAAAAGGTCAGAGGACAATATGAACACAATTATAATGAGCAAGAGAGCGTGCATTTAAAAAAAAACATTTTAAAACACTTCAAACAGTCTTTACTTTGTGATCAAATGGGGTTTTAATTTTCTCTCAATCAAAAGCTTCTGTAGTTTTGTTCGTTCAGCAGATGCGACGGGTGCAAACCACAAAAACCCAAGTTTCAAGATCATGCAGCTCGCAAAAGTGAAAGCCTCAGCGTGAGTCAGGTGGGCGTTAGGAGAAGTCGAGGATGTTGCAGCGTAGTGCACTGATCAAACACACGTTCAGGAGGGCAAAACCAGAAAAAAAATCGGCTGCAACTCAAACCAAAGGCAGTCAGGCCTGACGCACGGGAGGCGTGTCACAAGCGGTGGAGTGGGCAGGAGATAATCATCTGTTCTAACCAGAAGAGAAAAGCATCAGAGAGGACTGAGCTGAGACAAACTGGTTTTTAATGTTGAAACGGGATAATGACTGAGGCAGGGATGGGTTTTCAGCCCGAAGAGGAAGAGTTTGACTTTAGCTGTGTGTTTGAGCACAGTGAAGGTGTGCAGCATGAACAAGAGAGAGGTGGGTAGTGAAGGGTATCTGTTTTTTTTCTTTAATGCTGAGATCTCAGCTGTTTAGTGAAACATCCTCTTCACTTCAAGTCAAACAGAAAATTAGGTTTATCTGATATTTGTTTATTTTTAGATTTCTCTTTGTGTTCAGATAACATTACCTGGTATATTTTTGCTTCTAAGGGAAAGTTCTTGTGAGCTAAATTTAACCACCTGTCCACATTTTAATGGGCATGTGACACTTTCATCGTTTCATATGATACACCGCATTGTGGTTTACAAATATAGCATGCTGCGTTGAAGGGAGTGTCCTTCACTAGTTTCAGTCTCACCTCTATCTTTTCCCAGCAGGTTAGATTTATTCATACAACAAATAGATTTCCTTCTGATGCAACAGCTAAGTGTTGCTGAGAAGTGCTTTCAGGATAAATGCGGTTCTCTTGAATGCCACCTGCCCCTCTGATTTCCTGATGTGTGCAGCCTTTACTTGTATGTGTACGATCTGCTGCAGCAGACTCTCCTTGACTTAATCACAAGCTCGGAGCAGTGCGAGAGTGCTGTCAGCTGTCCACAGGGGAGGGCCTAATTCACTCATTGAGTGATGTAATCAATCAAAGGAAGCATCAATCAGCGCTGCTTGAGGAATTCCTGCAGAGTACATATGACAGTAGGGTGTGCCAAACTAAGCTGTAGACATACCGATCAAACAAACAAAGTGGCGGTTCAAGTTGTGACTACACGGAGCAGACAGTTACTGCTTTGAGATTCTTTGGAGATTTAAGACTTGCTGCGTTTTTGGAGTTTTAGTACAAATTGAGTCTGTTTCTAACATGCTGAGGGTTTCAAATGCAGTGGTGTGTATTTTAAACTCAGCGTGCTTTATTTTTTTTAGATGCATACAACTACGCACCAAACGTCAGCCTCGCCCTTCCACTTGGAATGGGCAACCCATGTCTGTCGACGCAGTACCACAACCTACAGTCAAGCCCTGTCATCTCAGTGTCATTTTGCCACCAGCCCAACTACAGCCTGCAGAATGACAACCATGCAGCACCTGATTACTACCTGCCTCAAGGCTTAAGACCCCATGGTGCTCCTGCACTGGAGAGCCCTCGTATAGAGATCACTGCCTACAGCCAGTACCCAGAGGACGAGGTTGAAGAGAGCGGCGGTGAAAGCCACGCCATCAAGCGAGGTGTCAATTCCATTGTTACGCTGACCCTGCCAAATGCAGAGGGGTACCGTGACCCTAGCTGTTTAAGCCCAGCGAGTAGCCTATCCTCACGCAGCTGTAATTCAGACGCCTCGTCTTATGAGTCTGGCTTCTACAACTATGACAACTCCCCACAAAACTCCCCCTGGCAATCTCCCTGCGTTTCACCTCGAGGGTCATCCTCACTCCTGTCGTGTCCACAGGCCGTTGGCCCGACATTCTCCCCTCACCATTCTCCCTCCAACTCCCCTCAAATAGGAGCAGTGGCAGAAGAGGGCTGGCCAGCACAACCTTGTGGTTCCAGGCCAAACTCCCCCTCTGGCAGCGGAGGTGGTGGATGCAACAACAGTAGTGGCATGGGGAAAAGGAAGTACAGCCTCAGTGGTTCTTCCTACCATCAGACATCCCTCTCACCCAACCAGTCGCCCACTCCCTCTCCACACGGCTCTCCCAGGGTCAGCGTCACTGATGAGAACTGGCTCGCCAACACCAACCAGTACACCAACTCTGCCATCGTGGCTGCCATTAATGCTCTAACTACAGATGGAGTGGTAGACATGGGTGAGGGGATCCCGATCAAGACACGCAAGACTATGCTGGATCTGTCCCCCGCCATGAGCCTGAAGCTGGAACCCAGTGGTGAGGATCTGGGTCCAGATGCTGAGCTCTGCCATGAGGACTACCCCTCACGCCTGGCCCTTAAAAAGGAGAACTACTGTGGAGGGTTCTTGGATGTGCCCCAGCATCCATACTCCTGGCCTAAACCCAAGCCTTACCTCAGGTATGTTGATTTGCTCCAGCTGCTGCCATGCGTTGAATGTGTGCATGCACAAAATCAATGAGAGAAATCCCAGGACAGCAGGTGGAACTGGCCTTTCTGGAAAAAAAAGCTTAGCATCATTTACGACGTCTTTAGATAAAGGTTTTAACGCTGTAGACCTCAGTATGAGATTTAACCCATTACTATCCTAATATTTAGTTGTCTTTTGTGCCTATTTTAAGTTTTCTTTATTTTCTTATGAGGGAGAGATTTTTTTGGTTTGAATCTTCAAAGGCAGAACACCAAAGAAGCATGCTCCTTACTTCCAAACAATCTCCCTTTGAAGATCAAAACTGTTTCATAAATCTAGTCTCTCTCTCTCTCTCTCTCTCTCTCTCTCTCTCTCTCTCTCTCTCTCTGTCTCTCTCTGTCTCTCTCTCTGTCTCTCTCTGTCTCTCTCTCTCTCTCTCTCTCTCTCTCTCTCTCTATCTCTCTCTCTGTCTCTCTATCTCTCTCTCACACACACAGGCGCACATACACAGTTCTTTTGTTTTTAGACATCAAGATGGGCTTTGTGAATCCTTGTTTTTTCCCCCTTTGTGGAATTTAGTTCTGAGCCAATAACACACTTTCCTGTCGGAAATCAAGTGTTTGATTAAGATAGCTAGCAGCAGGAAGTAATGGTGACAGGCCTGGTTGAAAGGGAAGCAGTCTGTGAGTTAATCAGCTGGCTCGCTGTACTGGGGTGTCGCGCCATCAGCTCATCTTTTCCCTGTTCGACTAAAGTGATGTCATGCACTGACTGGACAGATAAAACCCTGCTGGGGAAATTGCTCTGCTTTGGGTCAACAAACAGCCTGCGAGTTCCACATAGATGCCAGAGATTGGTTTCAGCAAAGCCATCCTTTGAGGGCAAGGGTCTGCCTTTAACCAGTCATCCGGAGCAAAGAAATATTGTCTTGCACATGTTTGTTTTGGTTTAGATAACTCTTTAGTGTTCACGTGGGAATCTCCGAATAGCCATCTTGAGAACAATGATGCTGAGGGATGCCAGCTGCAGCTCTGAGAAAGAGATATCTTACCCAAAGACATGCCGGACATCACAGTCTGCTCCGATGAAAACGAGGGGTTAAGATTTAAAATCTCACATTTGCTGAGTTAGTGTGACTTGTTTTCTGCCCGAAAAAGGTCTGTCCTCTCTTAACTCATCCGAACTCTTCCCCCCTTTACAGTTTAATGTTAAACACACTACCCTCTAACCAGGGAATATTTCTTTCATTTATTCTTCACATGCAACAAAAGAACACAGTCAACCATTTAACTGACCAAAAAATGTGTCATTTCAGGGAACAAATGCAGCTGAATATAGATCTAAATGAGCTAAAGAAAACTAAACATTGATACATACATTTGTGTCCCAGTTTGAGGCTAAATTAAAGCAAGTTTAGTTGGTTTTTATTCTGATTCTAGTAAAAGTGGCCCTAACGTCAGTGCAACTTTAAAAATTTGAATTATTAAAGCATATGAAAACAAAAACTTGGTTTAGGTTTTGAACCAGGTGTATCATATAATGAGAAATTACAGATTTGTAGCCATTTCTGTCACATCTTGAAGACGAAAAAAAAATGCACAGCCTTACACCTTACTGCAAGATTTCACATGATCTGTTAGCATTCAGAGTATGTGTTGTCAAGGAGTCTACCACACAGACGCCGGTTAAATACATTCAAATATGATGGATTTGTTGTCATTTTTTTTGCAAAGGCCAATAAATCATCAGGGTTGTCTTTAAATGTTCAGTAGATCACACAGGTTTGTTAAATATGGTGCTAAATCATTGCTTCATATCTGCAAAGATGCCTATGTTATACCCATTTTCAGCTTGTCTAAGGTTGACTCAATCTTAAAAAGCAGATATTGGATATAACTTTGCTCCCACCTATAAAACAACCATTGTTTATTTTTTTCTGCAGCCCATCTCTGCCTGCACTTGACTGGCAGCTGCCATCGTGCTCCGGTCCATACAACCTTCAGATTGAGGTGCAGCCTAAGTCCCACCACAGGGCCCATTACGAGACCGAAGGAAGCCGAGGAGCCGTAAAGGCGCTGTCTGGAGGACACCCTGTGGTGCAGGTATGTCTACCTGCACTCTGCTCACAGCAAACGCCTTTTAACTTTAAGGCTCATAATACATTTACAAGAGATAACAATTAGCTCTATGATGTTGTTTTTCTAAGAAACGCAAACAAGTGCATTCTGTCAGTTATTGTTTTAGTGTTTCTGATCTAGCATGAGCATTTGGCTGTTCCCGTCAAAATCAGGTCACCTTTGACAACTTCTATTAGTCTTAAGGTCTTTTGCCTTTCTTTGAAACAGACTGGAATAAGATGATCTGTACAAAGTAATTATCTGACTTGATGTGTGTTTCTAGAGTATTCTTCCAACTATTACCGACAGCAAATACACAGAAGGCTGTTTATTTTACTTTATGCTTGTTTGCCGTGGTATTAAAATGCTCAGAGAGTCAGAGTTCTGTCATCCTGTAAAATGGTCACTCTGCCCAGTTGCAGTGCGAACTGACTCAATTTGTATTAATTAGGACCATCGCCTCTCACTGTTGCACTTGGAGAACACTCAAAGAGCAGACGTCAGTCTCACCCGTGGCGCTTACACAGAGCTCTTTTCTCTGCTGCGCTGTCGCACCACTCTAACATATCGGTTTACATAAGTTGGAGATTTAACTTTGTGCCCTTAAGGCCTAGGGTAAATTTCATGCTGCTAACTCAAAGTAAAGCCACATTTATCCAGCTAATTGTGCTTGTGTTCTTGAAAGATTCAAGTTGATGAAGGCTCTATTTTTCACACAGTAAAAGCAAACCTCTCAGGGAAAGTCTGTTGGGATCTGCACGGTTTAAAGTTGGTGGTCGAGCCGTGTCACACACTTGGCACAGTGTTAATGCTGCACTAGAGCTGTTTTGTAAACAGATGTTGTCAGCACATCCTGGTCTACTCAATGTCAAATGCACGACGGGCAGTGAAGCCGTTTACAAGAAGGGACACAGCAGACTGCACTTCTTGAGGACGCTTAGTTCCTTCAATGTCTGTAGCAAGATGCTGCAGATCTTCTACAAGTCTGTTGTTGAGAGTGTAATCTCTTCAGCCATCGTCTGTTGGGGTAGCAGCATCAGAAGCAGGGACCTGAAAAGGCTCAACAGCCTAATAAAAAAGGCTGGTTCTGTTCTGGGGACGACTGGGGAACCACTGGAGGAGATAATGCAAAGAAGGATTCTCCAGAGAATCAAGAAAATTATGGACAACCCTGAGCATTCTCTTCACAAGACTGTCCGACAACGGAAGAGTGTCTTCAGTCAGAGGCTTCTTCAGTTTCACTGCAACACTGACCGCTACTGGAGATCCTTCCTGCCAACAGCCATTGTAATATACAATAACTCTTTGATGACTTGATTATTATTATTATTATTATTATTATTATTATTATTATTATTATTCTGAGCTACTACAACAATCAATTTCCCTCTGGGATTAATAAAGTAGTTTTGAACTGAATTGAATTGAACTGAATTGTTGGCCAACGTGGTGTTTCAAACTGGCCTGCCAGCCTGCAGGTTTTCTCTGTAAATACACCTCATTAAAAGCTGCCGTTTATCAGCACACATGAATCAACATTTCACCTTAGCACCTCCGCTCGCTGCAGAGAGAGGCCAGCCAGACAAAGTCGTCATGTGCAGCAGGTGCGACTGGCTCTGATTTAGGCAATGCCTCTTTCTTTCTCATACCCAAGGGACCAGAGTGAAATTCATAAGTTACCCCATTGCACAGTGTCCCATTCAGATTAATTAATTACGATTTTACACACCAGTGGTCCAGATGTTATGTTTTATTTCTGCAAAGTGCTGAAAATATGAACCTTTTCCACAAATTTTACGTGGTGAGTGGTGATTTATGTCTCTGATATTTGAAATGCAGTTCCCTGGAAAATCTTGTAGCTTTTATAATGCTGAAAATTGCTGCAAGCAAGGCAGTAGCCAGAAAGAAATCACGTGGAAGAAGAACATTTATTTTATCTTCAGGAATTTTGCTGAATTTGAAGTATGAAATCACTCTACTTTACTCTTTATTACTCTTTGTTTTTGTTGTGGTGTTTTGATAAAACTGTTGTTATTCTCTTGAAGGAAAAGGGATGGTGTGTGGTCCCTGGTGCCCTGCGGTAATGAGTGGCAGACACTGGAAGGGTGAGGTGCAGTCAAGGAGAATGAGTCAATAACGACATGAGGGTATGGGTCTAGGAAGCAGAGGAAGGATGCATGCGTGTGTGTGTGTGTGTGTGTGTGTGTGTGTGTGTGTGTGTGTGTGTGTGTGTGTGTGTGTGTGTGTGAGCTACTCAAAACAGAGAGAAAGCGGGAGAAAAGGGCAGAGGGACTCGCAGTGCAGCTGTAACTTAACTTGGTGTTCCCCTGGAGATGTTCTGGTGATGATGTGAGTTGAGGAGCCCTGAGCTAGCCTGAGCACGATGGGTGGTGCAGTGACGGGAATGCACAAGATTCAGAATCCCAAGGCACACTAAAAGCCACCTCCCTTTTCCATGCACCCTTGCCTCCCTCCCCCTCCTGGGGGACTAAGGATGTCGCTCCCTGTGAACTGTTCATCCTTCAACCATCTCCCAAACCTGCACCAGCAGGCCTCCCTCATGCCAAATCCCAGTCAACCACAACTTTATTGTTCTTTTTAGCTCATGCATGATCAGACACATGTGCTGTGAGTGATGAGGACATGTGTGCTGGAAAGCAACACCAGGTGAAAAAACAGAACAATAAAGAGCATGAAAGGATACACTGTTGCTACACTGACGGATAAAGATCTGATTGACCATTTTTGTGTTCATCCCTGGGTATTCCCCTCTCAATTCAGATATCACCACAAAAAGCAGAAGATTAACCAGGCTGCTCTTCACCACATGGGATAGAGTGATTATGGGATGTATGGTTGACACATTTTTTCTAGCGTCATTTCAATGAACAACCAAGTTACCTGAAATCATTCCTCCTCTGATGCCTACACTATACTCTCAATAATCATTTGCATCATGTGCACTACATCCTTTAAAGTCTTTGCTTCCTGGTGTCACCTTTTACCTACCTTTCTCAATATTTGTCCACTTTCAGTCTTTTGGTTGTATTTCTTCACTTTTGTATAGTATAATACATTTTAGGGGATGTAGGGGACTCCGTTGGCCCCAGAGACTCTGATGGTGATTTTAAAAGTCACACTAAGGAAAATTGTGGTCTACCATTGCTAAAGTTATAGTAACATTGGATTGGATTTCTATAGCAGAATTATATTTTTTAGGCACTGAAAGCACTTTCCATCATTCACACTCTCTCACATTCACACACTGCAGGTGGTGGTAAACTACTATGTACCCAAAGCCGCCCCGAGGCGCTCTGACAGATGCGAGGCTGCCATTTGTGCCACCGGCCCCTCTGACCACCACCATGCGATGGATGAAGTGTCTTGTCCATGAACGCAACAGCAGAATGCCTCTGGCGGATGGCAGATGACAAAAATCTTTTTCTGTTTTAAAAAGGCAGTTATGCCAGGGTAAAACTATATCAGGCCTATGCTAGCAACACCTGTGAAGTGTTAGTTCGCTTTGTGCTTGTGGCTGCACATACACAGCACAATTACTGGCCTATATGCTTCCCCTTTACACATACACTCTCATTAAATCTAAAGCACCAACAGACATGTAATTTCTACAGGATGTATCCATTATCCTCTTTAAAATGTGCATGACTTAATAACAACCATCTCGCTTTTTCTGCCACTGCATGGAACGCACAGCAAATTTGCCATAAGTTTTTGCCATGGCAACATGAAAGACCTCAGAAAACATGTGGTAGGTTCTTAACATGTGTTGTTTCACCTTGGGATCCGGTCCTTACTGGCTGTGTTGCATCTCAAAGAAACTAATCTACAGCAAACTATACTGTAGCAGCTAATTGCTCATTAAATCTACCGCCGCCTCTTGTTTGATATTCAGAAGTCTCAGTTTACCCTGTAGTGCTGTTAGAGCTTAGTCAGGGCTGTTACTCATTGCCCAAAGGGGTATTTTTGCCACTCTCAAATTGTGGTTCTCCATTTGCTAGTCTTCCCTTATGGTAGCATTGGGCTGCCACTAATTACCAGTTAATAACACATGGAAAAAGTTGAGAGAGATGTGCACCATTTTCACTGGTTTGTGGCGATAACCAGACATCCCATAGATTTACAAGGCAAGACAGAAGTGGGTGGTGTTGTTATTGGATGGGTAGTGGGATACAGCAGCCATCCCTATTGCTCATGGCAGGTTCTACTGGTAACAAAGCCATTTTTATATGGATTTTGGACCTGCACTGGTCTAGACATGGGCTTGTGCTTGAATCTTTGCCGTCAATGACATAACACTGAAGCAACCGTTTTAACAAAACTCCACGGACTGTAGAAGTGCCGTTGCTTATAAAAGGAGCTGCATGTGAATCCATGGAAATGGAGAACATTAAAGGAATGCATTTATCAGCTTGTGTATTTGTTATGGGACACAGGAGACGTGAGTAGGGCAGCAGCGTGGTGGTGTAAAGTCTGGAAGGAGAGACAACGTGGATGAGTGTACATTTAATTGGGTGCAGTGAAAACTTGCTGTGGGTATGTCAGCACTTGACAGAGAAGGGATTGTGATAATGAGGCAAAAAGCCTGAATCTGCTGTTGCATTACTCCTCACCTCCCCTACAACTATCCCCCACCCCCACTTTGGCTCCCAGTGTTCTTCTTCTTCCAAATTCACCGTGCCACGTGGACTTCTAGGAGTCATGACATTTCTCCAGGCAGTGATGAAAGAAATCACTCCAGAGGGAATGAGGTGGCCCGCCGCCAGTCTGTGGAGTGTATTCACAATCAATTTCCAGCTGGGACAGACACATCTAATTCATCGCCAAGTCATTATTAAACTTTACATCTTCAAATCCTTCATCTGAACCATTGAGGCCAGGTGCAGGTAGCATTTAAACTGTCACGCTTACTAAAGAGAATGAAGGATAATTTGACATAGAAAACTGCTACTTGTGTGTTTTACCACCTTCTCCTTAATCCCAACTGACCAAAACAATACATATGCATTCAATTACATAATCATTGCATCAACTGCCATACCTCCATATTTTACTTGAGCCTCAGCTTCCTGAAACAGTTTGTGGATCAAATGGCTTTTAAACGGATCTCTTCTTGATTAAGTCGGTACCTAAACCAGCTGCAAATAAAAATAATACATTTTAAAACTTGGTTTTGATTATCAGAAACCTACACAAACCATGCGCCGCATGGGCTGCTGTTAAAGCTTAAGAATCTCATCTGGTCAAAATTAGATGTTCTCTGGTCCAACCTCACAATCAGCATCAGATACAAACACAAAACAGGTTTCAGGTGCGTATTTGAAGCTTTGTTCATTGGAGCCCGCCCTTCATCACACTAATGATGACCCTCATCTTCTTCAGTTCTTAAAAAAACAAAGAAGAAAGTTTTGTTCTCTTCTTGTGGTGTGTAGTTGATTGAGCATCACAGAAGTTTAGCAGAAGCAGAGTCGACTGTAAGGTCAAAGGGAGCACATGTGGAAAAGACATTGAGGGAGGTCGTCCAGGGGGACTAGACCACCTTCTCTCACAGCCGAGTGAACTAACGTAACCAAGAGGAATACCTGACCTCATTGATCAGTTCCTCTCCCCCAAGCGTTCACGAGGCTTAGAGTGACTGTGCCAGCATCACTGTGGTTTTACCACAAGACGGTGAAGAGATAAGCTCCCCCTCTTCCATCTTCACCCTACATCATCTCCTACGTTGCTATATCCCCCTCTCTTGTGTCTCCTTACAGTCGTGTGGTGGCTGAGGTAATTGTTGGAGGTCAAAGTGAAACCAAAAAAGAAGGAAAAAGCTACAGACGACACCGCTTTGTAATTCAGATATCTGAGTCTTATTAAATCAAAAGGCAACGTCATGCAATTTAATGCTCTGGTGTTTCAAATTTTTACCTCACGCGCCACCACGTCCTTCCCTCAAGTCGGTGCACAAGTAACTGGTAGCATGTGCGTCTATAGATAATTACTTCTGGTGACACTATGAGTAAAATATAACAAGGGGAACGGGGTCTGCCGGTGAGATCACCGTATAGATGAAGTGGCCCCTAGGGACGCCAAGAAGCTCCTGACCTCGGCTTAACTCACTGATGACTAGCATGTGTGACTAGCTTGCTGGATGAGACAGCTGCTAGAGAGACTACTGCTAGCTGAGATATAAAGAAATTGTTGGAAATGGAGATGTTCAACAACTTTAATGTAACCATTCCTTTGATACCTGAATAAAAAGCAAGGCAAGATAAGCATTGGTTCTTCTATTATTATATACTCGTCTAAAATTACTAGCCATAGTCAGTTCACGTAAATCTGTTATAACTAGGAAAATATGGTGCAAATCCAGCACTCTGACTCATCTTTCACACAAAAGATCTGTCAGTAACCGTTTAATCTAAGCGTTGGGCATCAGGCAGGTTTTAACATCTAGACAAATTTGTTTTTTAACGATACTGTAGTATTTGTCTCCAAAAACCTACAATGACAGATCTCCAGTGGTCCACCAACCTTACGCCTCCCTACACCCCCACCCCAACTACCCTCTCAAAGGTAATTATAAACCCATTAATCAGATTATGTCATGGGCCACATGTGGTCTGCATTTTGTTATATGAGTCAGTCTGTTAGATAAACAACTGGAGTCTTTTATTCCGTTTGACGTTACCACTGTTTTCACTTTTCACTCGAACGGAGCTCAGAAAAAATAGGTCTGAAGCAATGTGCTGGTGTGTGCTGAAGTAATTGACCAATTTGTGGGATTTTTCTGAGAGCCATGCCTCGGTGAACCCCGGTCTAGAGTAACCAATCTCCCACAGCAGATGTCACAAGTGGTCAAGCAGCCACCTTGGTGGGTCTGTTGGGGTTCCTGTTGACTGGTTGTCCTCCTCTGTTTGGAGGAGATGGATTTTGCAGCTTCCTATAAGGTTTTTGGGTTAGGAGAGATTTCTAAGACCACAAGAACATCTGTCCTCGTAGCAGTTTGACAACTTAGTTCTGCCAAGTGAAAGTCTATCCTGGGAGGTCTTTGGTTTTAAGACTCAGTTTCACCCAAAAATTACTTGGTCGGCAATTAGAAATTACAAAGCATGAGCCTGAATATTCATGTTTAAAACCACTGCAACAGGGTAAATTTATCAAATGATTCCACTGAGGACATCACCAGGCATCAAGCAATGGTCAGGGTGGAATGTAATGTCCAGTAGGAGGTTATTTGTGAAGAGCAGCTGACTAGAGGACGGTACTTTTCAAACACAATGTTTCCACACCTATCAAATATATTTTGATAATTTTTATTAGCTGAGAACTGACATCTAATAGAGGTCTACAAGAGGAAGTGGTAGATGTTTGAAGTCTGATACAGGAGTCCCTTTGATCACAGCGGGACACGGTCTCCAAAACTCTAATAATTCATGCTCATATTTGGCCAAAGGCCAAATGGTTAGATCATGCTGAATGTCTCACATCATCAAGGTTTGATTCATTTAATGGTGCTATTACTAGTTAGATTTAGGTGTGACGTTTTAATTATTTAGGTATGTTTAATGATGTAATGTTGTGTCCATTGACTTTAGTGATTTTGTATAATTTCATCATTATTTCATTCAACTGGTCCAACCCACATTTATGTTGAGAAATTGGGATTAATGCAAACATGATAGGCAGCCAGGTGTCTGAATAAGCAGATTACTCCTGTGTGAGCTTGTTTTACGTTGTCATGAGATTTTAGTGATATGAGGCAACTTGAAAGTCTGTTTGGCTCCATGCTGCTGGACCCGAGATATTTAAATTCACATAAATATACAGACAAAAGTCACATTTTTAAACAAAGGATTTAAATAATAAAAGAAATGAAAACAACAGAAAACAGCCTCTTTACCATTTGTGTTTGAGGCTTTTTAATTGACAGTGGCTGTTGCTCGTTTGTTTAATCTTTATTTCCTAAATGAGGGTCTGCCTTCAAGCTGAGGGTCTTAAAAGTTGCTGTTGTTGCCTCTCACCTGGGTTTCTTTGTTCTCCTACCAGCTTTATGGCTACATGGAGAGCGAGCCGCTCACCCTGCAGCTATTCATTGGGACCGCAGACGATCGCCTTCTGCGACCACATGCCTTCTACCAGGTCCACCGCATCACGGGCAAAACCGTCTCCACCGCCAGCCATGAAGTCATGCAATCCAACACCAAAATCCTGGAGATCCCTCTGCTGCCTGAAAATAACATGAGAGCTATGTGAGTGCTTTGAGACCACCGCATGTTGACTTTAAATTTTTTCTTCTTTTTACTTCTCAAGTGAACCATTTTGTAGAACACTTATTTTATGCCATTTATGTTGCTTTAGCTCCACAAATAGAAACCCTGTTGGTTTGTATTTATTGGAACATGATTGTGAAAAGAAAAGTACGATTTCTGAACATTAAGTTGGCTGTCGTCCACCTAGAGTAGCTGCCTGCAGATAAAATGACCAAAAACAATCCAACAAAGTTGCAAGAACTGGCATTAAGCTTGTCCTGTAAAAAAATAAATAAATAAAGTTATTTTCTTTCCAAATAAAATATCTATACAACAAAAAAATAATCCTTCAAACTTAACTTGTGAGTCAAATTGATTTCAAAATACCAACGCATGAAGTTAATTCATAATATTCCAATCTTTCCTCAAAGTACTACCAAGAAAATGCCCAGTGAGGAGTTTATGTGCTGGTGACACTTTTTATTGCATCCTGTCTTGTAAAATTCTAAATTATGCTGCAATCACTTCAAATAGTAAGAGCAATCAACCGGGTTTGCTCAAAGCTTTTATGTAACCGTTGGTACAAAGTTTTATGTTACACATTTAGACTTAAGACACAACTTTAAGGTTAAAGAAGATGATTAAGTTAGAAGGTCAAATACATTTTTAAAAGTTGCATGGACTACAAAATGCTTAGGAGATGAGAAGTAAAATGTTTGTTCTTCATCTTTACAAACACACTCATCATAATCATCATCATCATCATCATCATTAGAAGCAGCAGCAGCAGCAGCTTTGGCCCCATGTCCACCCTGCAGGCTCCCAGTGAGCTGAGGGGCTGCAGGCTGCAGCAGATCCAGGCAGTAGCTCCTGTCTCAGGGCTACCCTATCTCTAAGGGAGAGCCCAGCCACCCTGCAGAGAAAACTCATTTTGGTCGCTTGGATCTGCAATCTCGTTCTTTCAGTCACTACCCAAAGCTCGTGATCAAAGGTGAGAGTAGGAACCATCGACATATATACTGGACAATTCATGTCCATAGACTCGAATTATACGTTTTTGTTCCCAATGGGAGATTCCCATTACCACCATTTTGATCATGTCACAGGTCCCGTCACGCCCAGACAATCAAAAAATGGGAAAAGAGGTGAAGCTGAGGGTGCGGCTGTTACGTTTGAAACAGGGTTGGAATAAATGAACCAGTGTAGCTACTAACTGACATAGCTAGCCCAAGAAGCTAAGATGGGCTCCTTGGACCGAGGGTATTCCACCCACATGGCAAACTGGTTCCCGTGGGAGGCCATAATCATGCCGTTTGCCTGTGGATATCTAATATGGACTGGGACTGTTAAATTACAAGCGTTGCCTCAGACCGATGCGATCGTAGCCAGGCGCCGTGACCTTTTACATCAGCTCTTGCTCCATGGTCGGAGATCAGCGGGACATTAGCTACATGCTAATCTTGGATTTAGAGGAGCTGATTCTCATCCCAGTTGCATATCAGTCAGCTTTTCATTTTAAAACACTTTTCATTGGTTTTCCTCATTAAAATACTACCACAGCTCTATGTTGCTTTAAAACTGAAGTTATCTGAAGTATATTTAGAAGCTCCTGAGGGTGTGGATGGTTTGCATGTACAGGTTACATTTCATGTAACATATTCAATGGAACTGCTCAGGTTTCTGATTCAAACTGTCCAAATGCATTCATTTATTTTATAACCACAGCTGAAAAGGAAGTTTTGTTTTCCCTTCTCATCTTTGTCGTTGACGCTCAGGTTAAAAGCAGAGGAGTAACGTTCCCTTTTTTTTCCTTTTGACTATCTCAAAATGAAAAAGAAAACCCTTTAACTGTCTCTTTCCACCGAGGTGTTAAACAACCACTGAGATATCCATCTGCAATCGTTTGCTCGTTGTGTGGGATGAAAAAAAATCTGCAAAAATGTCTCACTGCTTCAGTTTTGTCTTTTTTTAAATATCACCTGATGCACATACTTAACCTAAAGTTAATTACAAATCATGCCTTGACTCTTTATTCCACACAGTAAGCTGCGGTCTTTTATAGCTGAAAATAATTTTCAAAAGTGTTTTTTAACTCACACAGAGAGCATGAGGTGTCTTAATCTGTCTTCCCTGTGTAGAATATTTATAGAAAAGGGCCCTTAGCTGGTTCGTTCAGCCTATTAACTTGAGTTATTATGAACAAAAACAACAAAGCACCAGATTGTGGAGGTCTGATAAAGAGTGGCAGGCAGCAAGTTAGAGTTTTTCCTAGTTCAGCTTGTGCAAACCAAAGTTAATGGAAATAAAAACCTGTCATGTTCCAGGAGAAGTGCCCAAAATGTAGCGTATAAAATAACTAAAATGCCAAACCAAATCCCATTTGTTTTTACTCACTTTTACCAGCCACAACAGTTTTATTTACATTTATAAAAGGCCAGGCCTGCATTTTTTCCACTAAGAAGAGGAAGAGAAACTTTAGCCCTTTACCTCCCAAATTGTGAAATGAAATAAATAGGCTGCCGACTTGGGGTAGGGTCCACTTCTACACGTGGCAATGATTAACAGCTGTTAAAATCCTGAATTTAAAAAGTCTAAGAGGACAAGGCAGGATTGATGCTCTCTAATGGAGAAGGACCTTGGATCGTCTCAGACGCTGGTAACGTTCTCCAGAGGACTGGCTGTTCTCACACCAAGTGGCTTCTCAACACGCTGGACTTAAACCATTAATCTGGGATAGAAAACTTTTGCTCCTACAAAAGTCTTCATTTCTACTTTGAGGTTGCATAACTAACAAACAAGGATAAAAAAAAATAAAGAAAAGATAAATCAGCTTCTTTCTTGAGTGAGTGCAAGGTCAACATAACCCAAGAAAATCTTCATTAAATGAATAAAAAAAGCATTCAAGTTCAGGTTTAAATAATTAAAACATCTTTAATTTGATTTTGGGGCTTGTTTTAGTATAAAAGTTTTCTCTATTCAACTATTAGATGGATTCATGAATGGCCTCAGTTAGGATGAATAGCGTTTGCCTTCTTTAAGACTAAACTGTATTACTGACAATTTAAACCGTCTGTAAAATCTCACAGTAGCTGATTACATAAATCTAAGATTTCTTTCTTATTACTTGGTTATTCAGTGGAAAAAAAGTGGTTATTTATAATCATAAATTTCACCAGCAGCAAACAAAGTTTAAAACCATACTTTTCATCCCAAATAACAATCTAATACAGAATCAAATCTCCTTTTAACTGTTTCCTCTGTGTGCCTCAATTCTAGAATCGATTGTGCGGGAATCCTGAAGCTGCGCAATTCGGACATCGAGCTACGCAAAGGAGAAACGGACATCGGGCGGAAAAACACCCGTGTCAGGCTGGTGTTTCGTGTCCACATCAACCAGTCCAATGGCAGGACGGTGTCCCTACAGGCTTCTTCGAACCCCATTGAATGCTGTAAGACCGAGAAGCTAACACAAGTTGACACACTCTTTTTTTCTTGGCTCTCCGCTGAAGCTTAAAGTAGGATCTACTGTTGTAAACCAATAAAATGAGCCTCTGTTTTATTACCTGCTGGATCAAATTCAGTACCTCTGGACTCAATAAGGTTTACATAATAAAAAGATTAGCTAAAGCAATAGGTTTATTGTACACAATGCCAAATACATGTGTTGTCTTTCTCAAATTCAATTTTTAAGAGTGAATGCAGGAGTTATTAACCATTAGCACAGGTTCAATAAGGGTCATTTGCCAGTTCCCGCTGTTGGCACGTTTGAATGGGTTCATTGACAGAAACGTCTGTTTCTTTGTCATTCACTTGTGTGTGTAGGTGTAATGTTATTTGCACCAAAGGAAACCAATAAAAGCAGGACAGTGAAACAGAGCAGGCATTGTACGGTTCCGAGTTGTTAGTTAAATTTAATTATCACTGAGTTTTTGAAACTCCTATTTCTGAAGTCCTTAAGTGTGACAAAAGAAAATGATGGCAGCAGTCTGGCTCTAGATCTTATCACCATCTCCAGGGGTCAAAGGTGATAGGTTGCCTCAATTCAACCAAATCAGAGACAGGTGGTTGGCTGCAGGCTGTTAATGGAAATAATGAGCAAAGATTTCAGCGTGGACGTGTTGATCTGTCTTGCACCTTTTTCTGATGTCATTTTTAAAGCAGCTGTTGGCTGAGAACCTCGTAGCTAGGGGTCATGAAATCATCATAATAAATTTGATAAGCCTGTTTTCTTAATCAGAAACTGCTGCTTTATTGGTTGTGTCCTGGACGTGTTCTTTTCAAGCCAGATTCTGATCAGACAGTGAGTTTATGTAGATTTACACTGAGTATTGAATGGTGTGCGTATGTGTGTTTGTCTTTAGCTCAGCGTTCAGCCCAAGAGCTTCCCTTGGTGGAGAAGCAGAGCGTGGACAGTTACCCTGCAACCGGAGGCAAAATGATGCTTCTCAGTGGTCTTAACTTCCTCCCTGAGTCCAAGGTGGTGTTTGTGGAGAAAGCTCAAGGTAAAGAGGAGCCTAGCCATATCAGACTTTATTCACAACCTTTTAATTTCCCTTCCGATATCTCTTTCAAGTGCCTCTGTCCTTTTCTTTCCCAGTGGTGTTTTCTTAGACTTTCTTCCCGTCAAAATAGAGCAGGACTTGCCAGCGAGCCACATGTGGTGTGCATTAGGCCACTATATTTTTAACCAAACCCTATTTACATTTGCTGGAGTTTCCATTGCCTGTCCTTTGGTGCTTGCCACAAGTGAAAGAATGAATCATGACCAGAGCATGTGCAATATCTCTCTTTCTCACTTTCTTTTTCTCCCTGGCTGTCCCTTCTTCCCTTGCTGGCCTGCTTTACTGTAGATAGTTAACCCTCTCGTGAGTTTGGTAGTCCTTTCTTAACTCAGCTGCCTTTGAGTGGCAGATGTAGGAGATCAGGTGAAGCTGGCAGGTTGATACCATTTGCTCGTCAAAATGTAGCTTGCTTGAACATCTTTTTTGAAGTACTTTCACTGCACCTTTAAATGTGCAGAACATTCCCAAAGGCAATCAGAGATTGCTGCTTACTAGTGATGCATCGATATGAAATTTTTGGGCAGATACCGATCTCTGATATTGAGATCACTGTTATGGCCGATAACCGACATTTGCCGATACCGATATACTAACATTAATGCTTCTAAAATCAGGAAATTTTGTATAGAATTAAAATTATTAAAGCTGAATTTACATTATTAAGTACACACAGCGCACACATTTACGGTTCTGAGATGATTTAATTCACTGTCGCATGACTAAACAAATACACATCACCCCCCCTCACCCTCTTAAACAGGCAAACAAATGGAGACGAGATGGAAAAAAATATTGGTTGGTAATATCGGCCCGGTTTTATTTATCGGACCTATACCGATATGTTAAACAAGAACTAACATCGACCGATACCGATGTTGATGCCGATATATTGACCATCACTGCTTACACCCCCATACCCATAAATAAATAAAACAACCATTAAAGTTAAATTTGCATAACATATTTTAGAGGGGAAGGATTTCTTTAGACACCTACCTAACAGAATACAACTTAACGGACTCGACTTGAATTGCCTCTTTTAGAAAACAATGCCGCCAGTTTGCCGCAATTCCGAGCCGTCGTCTGGGAGCTTTAGGTCGTTTATAAGTGGTCACACAGTGGCGGTGAAGTGACGAAATCGTGTCCTTTTTAGAAAAGACGAAGCGATGGTGTTATAAAGGGGGGTTATCTTGAACATAACTTGCTTTTTATTGCGATCAAAGCTGCGCTCAGTTTTTTTGACAAGCCACCCCTAAAGGTGTCTGTCCTCCACAGTCCCTGAGCAGTCTGGTGATCAGAGCTTCAGCTCTAACGGAGAGAAGCTCCTGGAGCATCACTCTAGTTTAGGATCTCAGCTGATTCTGTGTACAAAAACAAAACTTACGGCCCACGTTTACTTTCATTTTTAATGTACTTGCCAGCTGGAGCTCGGCAGTAACTCCCCCTGTGATCATGACACCTCCCATTGTTGCGCCAAGGCGTAAACTAAACTAAAAAGTAAAAGCCATTTCCCGTGAAACCTTCATAGATGATGTAAACAGAACATAAAAAAAAACCACAGACCTTTTAGGATCAACACATTCTCACACCCAAGGCGTCAAAATATGATGCGTGGGACCAATCCTCAATATATGACGATTCGGGACGCCCCAGCGCGTCAGGAGACGACCATCAGGGACACGCTGGTTCACGTGGCTCCGCTGGCGTCACTGTTTGACGTGCGCGGTCACACGGACATTATTTGACTATTTAACCTTCCCCTCACCCCAGTCCTAACCTTAAGGTCAATAAACTGTGACCTTAAGGTGAGGATTGGGGTGAGGGGAAGGTTAAGTAGTTCACAAGTAGTTCTAATCTCCGTCTCATCACTGGCGTCGGATACTGACGCTCTGGGTCGCTGCGTCAGCTGTTTGTCCCTGATCGTCGTCTCCTGATGCGCTGGGGCATCCCGAATCATCATATATTGAGGCTTGGTCACACGCGTCATATTTTGACGCCTTGGGTGTGAGAATGTGTTGTTAGGATACATGCAACCGTCTTTCTCCATGCTTGTTATTGTGTGGACTTCTGAGATCATGCGTGGTGTTGAAATTCTTCCGAGATTTTGTGACCTCACGGGATCAGCTGTATATAACGCTTTTATTCACATTTCACCTATGAATTGCTCTCAGTTGGAAGAGAGCTCTCGGGTAAAATGCTATTAGCCTACGTTAAACGCTTCGCATCAGGTGGAAAGGAGGCTTTAGGCCTAGACATAGCGGTTTTGTCAAACCTTGAGAATAATAGCGGGGCATTATTTGTTAGCATTAGATTGTCAATACTCTTAGCTACTAACACATAACATTTTAACTCAGAATCGACACAGTTTACATTTCAGTGTTTGCTAATGTTAATTAGCTATGGCGGTCATATTGAGCAAGGTTGACACCAAAAGTCCCTCATCCAATAATTACTTTATGAGTTAGAAAAAAATTACAGTACAGTAGTAAAGTACAATAATAACATTTAGATATTTTGCTAACACAATCACACACACACACGCAAACTCTCGCGCACCCACACACACGACACACAGGAAACCTGATTGCCTGATTTTCATCTTTCGACAATGTTCAAACCTCCAGACTCTTGTTAAGCACAACCAGCATCTATGTTTGTTGTTTTAAAACAATACCAATGCCCAAGAATAAAGTTCCTTCTATACCCTCACGTCTCCTCTCACCAACTGTCATCATGACATTTCATTAGGTCATGTGCAGTTTGCTGAGAGACGAGCAAAAAGTTGGGCATCCCTTCCATCTCCAAACACAGAAGTGATTTTGAATCAAACAGTCTTTTAAACAGAGCATGTAGGTCATTTGGAGGCTGAGTCATTTATTAGTAGAAGAGAACAACTGGTTTTAAATCTCCAACATTCTATTTTAGACATTTCAGGTGTCAAAAAATAGGCATAGCTGAGAAGTTAGAAATTGATCTTATGGGTTCTCTCTCTTCCTTGGATTTACTTAGTCATGGAGGGGGATCCCCTGCAGAGTAAAGACTGTACACGCCCCCACCCCCACACTCTTTGAGTCACATGACCCTTCCAAAGTCGTGTTTTCATTTGTTCATCTGCCATCCTTACCTCAGTACTGTTTCGTGCATTTTCTCTGTTCTCCCTCCATCATTTTGAGTTTTTCTTACATCTACCCCCAGTACCTGCTAAAGATATTAGTGTGGAGTTCTGCTCCAGTGGGATCTGCCCACTCGTGTCGGCCGTCAAGAATTCAGCTGATGGTCTTCTGACTGAGAAGGGGAGAGTGAGATTAAAAAGAAAGTTTATCTGGCTGCTACTTGGGCTGCTTTCATGTAAACGTTAATGACCTTCCACTTCCAGGGTCTTTGATGTCAAAAAGCCTATTACAGACACGCAGACACTCATCACACATGTACAAACTCACACGCGCACACACACACGCACACACACACAAAGATAAGTGCTGTTTCATCAAGTTTATCTGACAAAGATCTTTCTAAATGTTTAATTAAAAAGACTGAAATGACACTAAAATTAAAATAATATAATGATCGTTTGACAGATTTATTCCTTAACTTTGGCTTCATTTTCAACTGGAAAACTTCATGAAGAAATTTGCCCTTGTTAAAAGCAGTTGCACCACAATAATTATTACACACACACACACACACACACACACACACACACACACACACACACACACACACACACACACACACACACACACACACACACACACACACACACACACACACACACAACAGCCAGACATTCTGGAAGGCACAAAACCAATCACTGCTTATGCCACAGTGATGACAGCCATTACTGCTGCTGCCATCAAAGGTCAGAATGGTGGCTCATTTTCCAAAATTGACTCCAATAAACACCTTCCAGAAAGGTCCACAAATCCTAAAGAGCTGCAGACGGATTTGGAGAGGCTCAGTCTAACTTGTGTGAAAAATTCTGTGGAGCTAAAATCCTCTAAATGGAGTCGGAGGAAAATCACAGATGGTTCAAAGGTCCATTAGAACATGCCCCCATGGGGCAGCTATAAATCACAAATGCCCGTATTTATCTATAACTGCACTCAGTAGAATTTATTTTAAATATGAATAGATTATTATTATCTGTGCCACAAGCCTTTTGAAGTTTCCCATTAATGGTTTATGATTTAAATGATGAAAACAGAGACAGCCCCCACATTTCCAATAGTCTAGGATTAATGGAAAAAAGAGACAAACTGCTTCAGACGTCTTTTAAAAGCTTGCATTAAGCTAAGAACCACTTTTATTTACGTTATAAAATATTATATAACATTTTCTTCACAAAACAAAAGTATTCCTATTAACTGATGGAATGAAATTAAAAATGTATTTTTGTTTTTTTAAAAGAACATTTTAGTCTTGTTGAATTGCATTTTTTGCTAAAGTTCTTCGTTGCAGAACAAATGTCCATTTCCCACTAGTGGCTGGTTTCAGTAAAGGTTCTAAGCCCCGCCCCCTCCACCTCATATGTTATTGTTCCAGATGCTGATGTTGGTTGATTGAGATTTTGCTAATACTGTGTGGACCTTCTGATGTGCCTTTTATCATCATATGTAGCTGTGTTTAGTTACGTTATGATTAAAAGTGCTACTTTCTGCACATTTGTGCAAAACCATTACATCTCATTTGAATATCTGTAAAGTGAAAAAGACAGCAGTGTAAAGGATTAGAAAAAGAATGTTGCACGAACTGCCTTAAGTTTCTGTAGGTTTGTTTGTCTTAAAACAACAGCTGCTGCAGTTAGACTAGCTGTTAGCACGTTGGTCCTGTTGGTAACATGATAGACCTATTTCTCCAAACTGAGGCTATTTAGGAAGCTAGCCAATAGGTAAGAAAAATATCCCTCCTTCTGTTTTTGTTGTTTTGTCTGATTTACCCCC